TGGTGAATGCTCCCTGTAAGCTTGAAAAGAATATATATTCAGCTGTTCTTGGATGATGTACAGGAAAACCTCATTTTATTATGCATCACTTTATTGCACTTCACAGATATTGCATTCTTTACAAATTGAAGGCTTGTGACAACTCTGTGTCGAGCAAGTCTGTCAGCACCATTTTTCCAACAGCATGTGCTCACTTCCTGTCTCTGTGTCACATTCTGGTAATTCTAACAATATTTCAAACTTTTTTGTAAAGCTATTGCACACTTAATAGACTACAGTATAGTGTAAATATAACTTTATATGCACTGAGAAACCAAAAAATTCGTGTGACTCAGTTTATTGGGCTACTCATTTTATCACGGTGGTCTGGAACCAAACTTACATCTTTGAAGTATACCTGTATTCTATAAATGTCAGTTAGATCCAGTTGACTAATTATGCTGTTTAGTTTAACTACAGTCTTCCTGGTTTTCTGCTGCCAGGCCTGTTAATGATTGACAGAGAAGTGTTTAAATCACCAGCTATAGTAGTGGGTTTGTGTATTTCTCTAAGCAATTCTGTCAATTTTTGTCTCACATATTTTAATGCTCTGTTAGGCACATTAAGGATTGTCTTCTTGGAGAATTGACCCCTTTCCCTAATGCCCCTTTTTATCCCCAAAAATTTTCTGTGCTCTGAAATCTGCTTTGTTTTAAATTAACATAGCTACAACAGATATTTTGTAATTAATGTTAGCATGGTATATCTTTCTCTATCCCTTCACTTAAGATCTGTCTTTATATTTAGGTGGGTTTCTTGTTAACAACATATAGTTCAGCTTTGATTTTTTATCCACTCTGATAGTCTCTCTCTTTTAATTGGTATATTTAGACCATTCACATTTAAAGTGATTATTAATATACTTTAATTAATGTCATATTTGTAATTGTTCTCTATTTGTTACCCTTGTTCTTTGTTTCTTCTTTTTTACTGTCTCTCTGACTTGAATTAAATATTTTATATGATTCCATTTTCTCTCTTGTCATAGTATATTGTTTAAAAATTGTTTTAGTGGTTGCCTAGAGTTTGCAATATATGTTTACAACTAATCTAAGTCATTTTCAAATACCACTGTACCCTTCACAGGCAGTGTAAAACCAAACTTCAAACTCACTGCCATTGACTTGGTTCCTACTCACAGTGACCCCCACTGGGTTTCCAAGGCTGTAAAATCTTTATAGAACTAACTGCCTCACCTTTCTTCCATGGAGTGGCTGATGCATTTGAACCACTGACCTTTTGGTTTGGAGCCAAATGCTTTAACCACTATACCACCAGAGCTCCTTCATAGGGAATATAAGTACCTTATAATAAAATATTCTCAATTCTTTCCTTCAGTTCCTTGTAGCATTGCTATCATAAATTTCACTTATACATAAACTATAATCAGCTAATAGTTTGTTGCCGTTGTTATTTTAAACAAACCATTATCTGTTAGATAAGTTAAGAAAAAGAAAATTGAATATTATATTTAGCCTTGACTTATTCTTTCTTGAATGTACTTCTTTCATGTAAATCTGAGTTTCTGACCTATATAATTTTATTTCTCTCTGAAGAACTTTTAACATTTTTTGAAAAGCAGGTCTAGTGGCAATAAATTCCTTCAATTTTTGTTTGTCAGCAAAAGTCTAATTCTCTTTCACTTTTGAAGGATAATTTTGCTAGGTACAGAATTAAAGGGTTTTTTTTTTTTTTTTTCCTTTCTTTCAACACTGCAAATTTCACTCACTCTCTTCTTGCTTGAATGGTTTCTAAAGAAAAATTCAATGTCATTCTTATCCTTTGTTCCTTTATATGTTGGATGTTTTTGTGTGGCTCCCTCCCTCCACCCCCGGCTTCTTTCAAGATTTTCTCTTTGTCTTTGATTTTCTAGGCTTGAATATGATATGCATAGGTATAGTTATTCTATTTGGTGTTCTCTGAGCTTCCTGGACCTATAGTTTATTTGTTAACAATTTTGGAAAATCCTCAGTCTTTACTACTTCAAATATTTCTTCTGTTCCTTTTTTTCTTTTTCTGGTCTTCTTATGCATATATTACACATTTTCTAATTATCCCATAATTCTTGTTATTTTGTTCTTATCTTTTCAGTCTTTTTTTCTCTTTGCTTTTCAGTTTGGAAAGTCTAAATTGACATATCTTCAAGCTCACTGGTTCCTTTCTCAGCCATGTCCAGTCTACTGATGAGCCCATCAAAGGCATTATTCATTTCTGTTACACCATTTTTTATTTCTAGCATTTCCTTTTGATTCTGTCTTAGAGTTTCCAACTCTATGCTTCCATTACCATCTGTTCATGCTTGTTGGCCCCCTTTCCATTATAGCTCTTGGTATATTAATCATACTTATTTTTAATTCCCCTCTCTGATAATCTAAAACCTCTACCAAATGCAAGTCTCATTCTGAGTTTTCCCTGTCTCTTTAGACTGTATTTTTGCCTTTCAATATGTCTTGTAATTTTTTTTGTTGAAAGCTAGAAATAACGTACTGGATAAAAGGAGCTGAATTTCTTTCTGTTGTCATCCCTGGTAAAACTCTGTTGATGTTTATTGGTATTATGGTCTGGGGGTAAAGGAAGCATTCTATAACCCTATGATTATGTCTCAATGTTTTAGCGAGCCTGTGCCCCTGTGTTGTGACCTTTATAAGTGCTTTTCTGCTTTTTCATTTCACCCTTTCCATAAAATAGGAAGGCTACAGGTGGCTGGAATTAGGTATTTCCTTTCCCCCATGTCTAAGGCTGGAGGATGCTGTACTGGAGTTGGTTGTTAACCTTCCTCTGCATTCGTTACTGTCTGAGAAAACTAATGTAGGGTAAGCCTTGGTAAAATATTTCCCTTTGAAGACAGGCTGTTGTTAAGGAGAACAGAGCACTATTTAAAAATGGTCACACCCTCCCCACTCATTGCTGGAAGCAGGAGGAGATTTTCCTCCAAGTTTCACAATGAGAACATGATAAAGTTTCTGTTGGTAAAACTTATGAAAGCGTGGACTCCTCCTAAAGCTAGGCCACCAGTTTTTGTTTCTCAAGCTAGTCCAGGCTCAGTCTCTAGCAATTAGTCTGTTGCCCTTTAAGTATCCCTACCCAGTGCTGGGTCCAGCAGCAGTGAACTCTACTCCTAGCAAGCAATGAGCGTCTCTCTCAGTTTTCAGGGAGGCAGTTTGCCCTATGACCTCAATCCTCTGCTGTATCTAGCATAGTTGATTTTCAGTTTTTTCTTGTTATGAGGACAAGAATGATCACTTCCAAGCTCTTTATATGCCAGATCAGAAAAGGGAAGTCCTTTGCATACATATTTATCATTTATCTTTATCAGTAAAGCCAGTTATGAGTCCCCTAAAACCACTTTCCTGATTATTAACTAATAGGATAATTTTGTCTGCTGTAACAAATGAGCTTCATCTTCTCAGAGGGTTAATTCAGTGGAAATTGACTTCTCACTCATGTTAACAGCCCAGTGCAGGTGTTCTTGGTCACATATTGTGATTCACACATGATAACTCAGGGACCTAGGGCTCCATCTTGTAGCCTACAATCTTTAAGAGTTCTGTACTCACCTGCTTGAAGCCTGTAGAAAAGAGGATGAAGAAAGCAACCACCTCAGCCCAGAAAAAGTACATACCTCTTCTGCTCACATTCTACTGGCTAAAATTTGTCACTTGATTCCACTTAGGTGCAAAGGATTCTGGAAAATGTAGTCACTCTCAGCTAGAACTCTATTTTATGGAAAGAGAATCCTGAATTTTAATAGACTATTAGACATCTTTAGGCGCTCTGGTGGCATAGTGCCTAAGGCGTTAGATTGCTAACCAGAAGGCTGGCAGTTCAAACCCACCAGCCACTCCTCGGAAGGAAGGTTGGGCAATCTACTTCCATAGTGATACCATTTCAGAAACCCAAAGAGGGGTTGCTATGAGTCGGATCCGACTCGACAGCAGTGTGTTTGGTGTTTGGTTTGGTATTAGACATCTTTAACGTATCTTGAGATACATTTTAAAATCTCTGAATGATGCTGTTATTAGAAATATTATCCTAAGCTACATGTATTCATCCATATACTATTAGAGATATATTTTAAAACATCTCAAAAGTGAGTATTTGTGGTCACTACTGTCTATAATGCCTTTTAAAAGTGATATTTGTAAGGGCTTGTTTGTAACAACATCCAACAGTTGCAATTGTGATGTTACTACTTGAAGAAAGGTCACTTAAATTTCTCTTCTTCCTTTTCAATTGGCAGTTAACTTCTATAAGCACCTCACACTAATTTTCCTGAGGTTGGTTTAAGCTAACAGACCATCCCTAAACAGTACTTTGGTTTTTGAAATAAAGTGTTGAGCGAGAACTCCTTAATAGAAGAAATTGTAAGACCTCAAATATATAGCTACTCCCTCTTTCTGAGGGATAATTTTGTGATAAAGGCATGTCATATATTCAAGCATACATATTATAAATTCTTCAATTCCATGTTTATAGCCTGGTTAAGGAGAGGGGAGATACATTCAGAGAAAGATTAAAAAGAAAAATTATAAGAGAAGGAGAGAAAAAGAAAGAGCGCATGAGAAACATGAAAGGGAGAGAACAGGAAGGGGAATCCAACAGCCCTCATCTCCCTTTCCTTTCCCCTCCCCTACTTCTTATTCAAAAGCTCATTAAAGTCACCTCTGGCTATCCCAACCATACTTAGCCTCTCTGATCCTTCTCTACTAAAACATCCTGGCCCCGCCTCCTATACCCCTGCTTATCTAACAAATCAGCCCCTCCCATTTCTACCCTGTGGATCTGGCCCATTTGCCACGATCTCCAATTCCCAGTCCTAAATTGGCTAAAATCTCCTTGTTCCCATAAATTCTTTTTACTAGTCCCTTAGTTAGCATGTTACAGTCCACAGGGAAAGAAATTACGAGACAGCTAAACAACACGGAAATCACAGAGCTCTCTCCTCTGCCTTCTACCACCAGGGAGTACTTCGTGGAGATGCACTATCGGAATGAGTCGCAGCATGAACCATATCCCCTCACACTGCCAGGCTGCACCCACAGTTGTCCTCTGACCAAGTTTGCTGAGCTGCTTGACCCTGTGATCTCCAAAGACTGGGCTGCGGAGTGTATGATCACAACTGACCACCAAGGTATTGAGGATGTGGCAGATTAGTGTATATGCAGAGCTCTGCAGAAAGGGCAGAACAACCTTTCTCATGATGGATGGTACTTTGAGAATATACCTTGGCTTTTACTTCCAGCTTTGAGGTGAATGAAGTTTGGGTGATGGCTTGTTTCAGGAATTCCCAATTTCATACAACTTCTACTTTGCTTCTTGGTCCTGCCTCCATTTGCCTTGACATGGTTTTTTCAGTATTAATATAAGGGTGCATCTGTGCCAAAACATAATCAGGGATAAAACCTGAGTTAAAGTTCATGGGGCAGTCTTGATCTCTGTAACTGGCCAAACACATGACTTGATCATAAAATTACCCCTCAGAAATAGGGGGTGGGTATATGTTTGAGTCCTTACAGTCCGTCATATTAAAGAGTGCTCTCCCTATATACCAAACTAAACTCATTGTCATCAAGTTGGTTTTGACTAATAGTGACCCCTCCTTGGGTTTCCAAGGTGATATCTCTACAGAAATAGATTGCCAAATCTTCCTCCCAAGGAGGGCTCATGGGTTTGAACTATCAGCCTTCTGGTTAGCAGTCAAATGCCTTAGGTGCTACACCACCAGTGCTCTCCCAGTATTTTATTTAAAAAAATAAATAAAAAGTACTGTTTGGAGAAGATTTATTAACTTAAACTAATCTCAGTAAAGTCAGTATGAGGTGCTTACAGAAATCACTTGTTATTTAAGAACTCCAAGAGGAGTTCTTTCAACAGGACTATATGAGGCTGTTCTTTAAGTATTTAAAGTGAAACAGATGTCACACTATAGTTATTTCTAGGCTAATAGGCAAAGGAATAACTCACCTAGTACTTCTCACCTTCTCGCTAGGAGAGGCAAAAATATGAGATACAGTGGAAGAATTTTGGGAAATCTTCTAGGCTGAAACCTTGGTAGTGTTCTGACATTTCTATTAAATATTTTGGGTGGCAGGGCTTTGCATTTTTTGACCCTGAAATACCCATGTTCCTTTTGAAGATACAAAAATCAAACAAAAGCTTTGATATATGTAATATATATAGCAGCTCTTGAAGTATATACCAAAAACCAAACCCACTGCCATCAAGTCAATTCAGACTCATAGTGACCCTGTAGGACAGAATACAACTGCCCCATAGAGTTTCCAAGGCTGTAAATCTTTTCAGAAGCAGACTGCCTCATCCTTCTCCCATAGAGCAGCTGGTGGGTTTGAACCACTGACCTTTTGGTTAGCAGCCCAATGGTTTAACCACAGCACCACCAGAGCTCTTTTTGGAATATATATGTCACAGCAAATAAGAAGCCTGATAAAAACAAGATGTTCTAGTGCAGCACGTCAGAGGTGAGAACACTGAATGAGTAGAACTTCCTTTGAAGCTCCTGTGGTAAGAAATCTTTCATCTAAAGTTGATTTAAGAAAGGAAATATAATGGCACATATCAAACTGGAGCAAAACTGGAAACAAGCATTTTCCAAATGCCTCCAAGATCAAAATTTATTAGAATGCTGAGAGTGATTACAAAATCTGGAGGACAAAAAGAATGTGTCAAACTTTGATTCTAGTGTCTTCAGAAAACCTAAGCAAACTCACAGGTCCTGCTGAAACTACTCATTGTACAAAAGCAAACATGTCCAAATTGACATTGATTACAGTCCTACACATTTGCTATGTGGCAGTTACAACACATCTGAAGAGCACCAGTTATCTTAGTTTCTTAGATCTGCTAGAACAGAATACCATATATGAGTGGCTTTAGTGAAAGAAATTTCTTACAGTCTTGGAAGCTCAAAGTCCAAATTTAGGACATGGGTTCTAAAGGTAGGCTCTCTCTCTGTTGGCTCTGGGGGAAGATCCTTTTCTCAGCTTCTATAGGCCTGGTGTTCTTTGGTCCCTTGGCGATTTGTATGTGGCGTCCATCTTCCCCCATTTGTACTTGTTGGTCTCTGTGTCTATGTTCCTCTTTATATCACTCAGAAGTGAGGTTTAGAATATACTACACTAATATTACCTCATTAACATAACAAAGAAAATCCTATTTTCAAATAGGATTATATCAACAGGTACCTGGGTCAGGACTCCAACACATATTTCAGGGAGACATAATTCAATCCATAATACCATGCTGCATTACGATTAAAGAGAAAGAGAGAGAATGCCTAAAGATGGTTCCTGCTGGATGCCAGAGTGTAAAATAAAGCCAGTTACTGGAAAACTGACGGAAGACTTTGATCACTTTGCTTATTTGTATTTTCTTCCCCAGGAAAATATTTGGTCTTGGAGCCATCACCTAATTAATTTTTCTTCTCTATGGTTATAACTTTCCTCCAGCAATGAGCCAAATGTAAAATAGTGAAGAAAGTCATTATTTGACATTCAAAAGCACTACTTTCATAATAAACTTTGAAAAGTGTTTCTAATTAGGATAAAATTCCTGCAGGAAAAAATTTTAGGGGCATTGTTTTTGTTTGTTGTGGGATTTTGTTTTACTGTAACAGAAGGGAAAATATTAATATAAGTAAAACTTTGGACTAGATTAAATGAACATTGTATGTTGAAAATGTATTTAATTTGGACTTTACTACTTCAGATAAAGGCTACGTTGATGGATGTCTCTACCTCACTGTTTAAGATGGGAACAGGAAGTTCACAATGTAGTGGGAAAGTATCCAAAAAAAACCAAACCAAACTCACTGCCATTGAGTGGATTCCAACTCACAGTGACCCTTCCTTAGGTTTCCAAGGTATCTCTACCAAAGTAGATTGCCCAGTCTTCCTTCTGAGGAGTGACCGGTGGGTTTGAACTGACAGCCTTCTGGTTAGCAGTCAAATACCTTAGGTATTACACCACCAGAGCTCCCATACAGATTCATAAAATGCAGAATAAACAAGTGTTATGATTACATGGGTTGCAATGGGAGCAAGAGTTACCCAGATTTGGAAGGAGGCAGTCACGGAGATCACGGAAGTTTTCCTACAGAAAACGACAAATGCATCATGTGAAATCAGTTTGCATGGAGGTTTCTAATGGTATGATACAAGACACCAGGGGGAAAAATAAAACTCATTGCCACTGAGTCAATTCCAACTCATAGCAACCCCTCCTTGGGATTCTGAGGTGGTATCTCTCTACAGAAGTAGATTGCCCAGTCTTCCTTCCCAGGAGTGATTGGTGTGTTTGAACTGCCAGCTTTCTGGTTAGCAGATACCAGAAAGGCACTTCTCAAATGTTCTAGTGGCTTAAAGCTAGTATGGATAGGGGAGTTACTTGGCAAAAGAGTCAGGGGTCCAAAGACATTCCCACAGGTATCACTCAGAGGTCCAATTATTTTATAGTATCTATGTATGCATATCTATAGCTATATCTGTATCACATAAAATTTGCCATTTTAACCATTTGGAAGTTTACAGTTCAGTGGCATTCACAACATTCACAATGTTGTACAACCATTATCACCATCTATTTCCAAAATTTTTCATCATCCCAATCAGAAACTCGGGGTCCACCAAGCAATATCACCTCATTTTCTCCTACCCCCATCCACTGGTGACCTGTAATCTATCTTCTGTGTCTATTAATTTACCTGTTGTGGATATTTTATGTATGTGGAATCACACAATATTTGTCCTCTTGTGTCTGTTTTATTTCACTTAGCATATTTTCAAGTTTCATCCATGTTACAGCATGTATTAGAATTTATTCCTTTTTATGGCTGAATAATATTTCATTGTATGTATATACCACATTTTGTTTATTCACGCATCTGCTAACGGGCATTTGGGTTGTTTCCACCTTTTAATTATTGTGAATAATGCAACATAATTATTGTGAAAAATGAGCATTGGTATACACGAGTCTGTTTCAGTTCCTATTTTCAATTCATTTGGGTACATGTATAAGAGTGAAGGATTTTTATCTGTTGTGTTCTCTTTTGTATCTGTCTGCAGCATCTGTACCTGACATGGATTGGAGCTCAATAAATATTTGTTCAATTAGTGTAGACATTAGTGACTTTTCCTCTCTGAACCTGCTGCTCTCTATCTTGATTAGCAGCCACACCCAGTAACCTAGGAGCCATTTCGATTCCGCCTTTTCCTTCATCCTCCATGTCCAATCTGTCATATCCTCTAAGTAACTCCACCTGTAGTGTGTAAATGTTTTTCCTCAAAAGACACAACATCAATAATACAATAGAGACAAGTATAATTAAGAAAAGAAAGAAAAAACTTAAGGGTTGGTGTGCTGGAACCAAATCATACAGGTCTCAAGAGTGAAATGTTGCATCTTTTCCCACCTGAATTCAGTAATCTCACTTTGACAGCTTGAAACTGGTCACAGTGGAAGTATTTTCACAGAAATAAGCAAATGCTATAAATCAAAGTCCTCTCTTTCTCTCTCCAACTCTCTCTCTCCCTCTGTTCCTCTTCCTGTCATGTGTTTATCAGCACACCACTAGTTTTAGTTTAAAGAAAGCTTGTTAAGAGTCTATAGCATGAGGTAGTCTATAGCATGAATTCACAAAGTGAATTCAATATTTAAACTTCTTTAAAGAAAAAGGACCAGGTTTGTTCTATATGGTCTCCAAGAGTAATGCTAGGATAGTAGGTAAAATTCTCAGAAAGACACATTATCATGTCTGTTTTATCTGAACTCTGTTTTTAGTGTAATTCATTTTTGAATTCATTCTTGTCATTCTCTTTCCCCCATTGTTTAGAGCCCCTGTTCAATGATATTCCTCCCAGCACTCCTCCTCCCTCAGAAATGAGGCTATTTGATTATAACATCTTCTTCTCATCCTTGTTGTAATTATCTTCACTTTCCCAGGATATATCTCATCATGTGTTCAAGATATGGGGAATTTGTTTAGTGTACATCAATCCCTTCTCACTTCCACTCCTGCCATCAACCTAGACAGTTCTGACAGCCATAATGATGGCCCATACCTGGCCTGCTCACTGTACCAATATCCAACCTAATCAACCACAAATTTTCTCT